TATTTATTCTTTGAATATGTTCCCAAGTCACATTGTTATGAATATTAGACTGTTACCTTGCAAATCCAGCCCTACTAAATGATGAAAAATCTTGTATCCTGTCTGTTTTTAGACAAAGGGCCGTAATTTTTGCCCATTACCTTTATATTTTCAACATTGCAAAATCAGTATACAATGATTTGTTTGACCTCACTGAAAACTGATTGAATGAAAAAAAAACTTCCTTACTGAGACACACTTGTTTGGGTCGGTAAATCTGTTACTAAGCAGCACTTGGTTTAATTGATAGGATATACTAAACTTAATATTTTTACAGATACACTGCGTGTGAGGGTGAATTTTATTTATTTTATACCTAACTACTTAGAAGGTCTTTCAGTATAGATACGTCATATTATAAGGAAGTAGATCATAAACATAGGTATAACAATGAAAGATAGCATATCAAGATGTAAGCCCATGACCTCTCCAGCCATTGTCAGGCACACCAACTTACAGACTGGAAGTTCTGGACAAGCTTGGCTTTCCATAAGTACTTCACTGCCTTTCCCTTACCTTGATATTGGCTCAGTTTTACCCAGTTTGACACAATAGAACCAACACTCCTTTCCTGTTACCTTAATTTTGGCTCAGTGTTAATAAGTACTACAATCCTTTCCCCTTGTCTTGATATTAGCCCAGGTTACACAGGAAGTACTACAATGTTTTCCCCTTGCCTTGATATTGGCTCAGTGTTGCCCATATTTAGTAAGTACTTGTTTCCGCATGTCTTAATATTGGTAGAGTGTTGCCCATATTTAATAAGTACTTTACTTGTTTCCCCATGTTTTAATATTGGCACAGTGTTGCCCATATTTAATAAGTACTTTACTTGTTTCCCCATGTCTTAATATTGGCACAGTGTTGCCCATATTTAATAAGTGCTTTACTTGTTTCCCCATGTCTTAATATTGGCACAGTGTTGCCCATATTTAATAAGTACTTGTTTTCCATGTCATAATACTGGTAGAGTGTTGCCCGTATTTACAGAATAAGTATGACATTCCTTTCTCGATGCCTTTATATTTTCTCAGTGGTAGTAAGTGCTAAACTCCTTTCCCTATACCTTCACGTCTGCGCATTGTTAATAAATACTACACTCTTTATGTCATTCTTTGATATTGGCTCAATAACCAAAAGTAAATATCCATCATGGCTAAGTAAAAAAAGGTGAACTTGCTTGATGAGAGGTATACAAAGAAAAAACAAAAACAAATATTTTATCTTGCAATGCCAATAATTTTCAATACAAAAAACTCAGTCAAAAAGTCCAAGACTCTTTGGTGGATAATGTATTCTTTACGCCTGCCCTAGTCCCTCTGTTGATAAGTGAGGATCATGCAATGTCTGCATCCTTGAGCCCACACATGGGAAGAGCTTGATCAGCTTGATAATTAAGTGGCCTTACATGTGAAGCCGAACGTAAATGATGATCATGTATATTTTTAGCGGGAGACTTTGTGGATGATGAAATGGAGGAGGAGCCAATGGAGGTTGGGGAGATGGCAGGATCAGACCAAAAGGAAAATGAAAATAATTCAGAATCCGATTATGATTTCGAGGACATGAATGAAACTGATCCTTCTTCAGCACCAGTCCAGGGTCAGAAAAGAAAAAAGGCATTTGTATGTTAATTTTTCAAGAAACTTGACTACTTAAAGTTTAAATATCTATTTTGATTGTTAACAGTTAATATAATGTAATACTGTAATGTCAATTAGAATTAATAATGCTGTGCTCATTTCAAATCTTGTTACAGGTATCTTGTCTAAGACTTTCTCTGAGCACATGAAGTTTAAATTGCACTTGGAAACACACATATGCACAGAAGTAAGATCTTAAGTTTTGCTTTGTGTTGTGACGAGTATTTTTATTGATACATTATTATTATTATTATTACAGGAAGAAAATTCATCAAAGAAATTGAAAAGCATGAAGAAAAGAGGGAAGAAAAACTTGAAATCACATGTGTCATAGTGGAATAGTTCAGTAAATTTGAAGAAACAAACAAAATAGTCTTTATTTCATTTGTCTTTTATAAATTCTGGATAATTATCCTAAAAGACTTTATCAGCTTCCTTTAATGTCAAGGTACATGAAAACTCATCAGTTTGAGAGAAATTTAAATTTGTTAAGGCTTAAAGGGGAATGAATAGAAAAACTGTGGACAAATAGAGAGTTCCAGCTAATAAAGAATATTAAGAAAGTTTTGATCATCAACAGAGGCAATGATCAAGGGAGATGGCTGCTGCAAGGCATAATTTTACCTAAATATGAATTGTCTCCCTTCAACACAAACTACTAAAAAGGTCAGTACTTTGTTCAAAGGTTTAGTAGAATCAAACAGTTGTTTGTTTTTTGCTAGTAATGTAGACAATATTTAGTAATGGTGAATGTATAAAATACCATAGAGCTGAAGGGGTTAAAATCAGTGACACTTTACAAATTACAGTACTGAAAGTTAAAGAAGAAACCCAAGTGAGACTGCATTGCTCATTTAAGAGTCAAATGCAAGGGTAGTGTGCAGGAAATATGGTTTTATATGATGCTTGCTAGTACATTTTTTTTAAAGTTATCAGATGTGATATTATAGTAGACCAGCATTGTTTGTGCACACTTTAACGGCCATATGTCAGATGTTTTGTGTAAAATTCAGTCGACTTCTGTTGACCAGTATTTGAGAAGTTTTTTAAAGGTTTAATTTAATAACATTGGCTCCATTGAATAATAGTAGATCAGTATATTTTGTGCAAAGGTTTTATGTTGTGATGCTTTTTGTCAAATTTGGCTCAGTTTAGTTGAGCAGTTTGAGATTGCAATGGTTTGTTTTTTTTTATTTTTGTAATGTGGCCAATTTGATGGCAAATCAGCACATTTTGTACAAAGGCTTTGCTAGGATGCATTTGATCAAATTCTCTTTCTGAGAAATTTTTGAATGGCTTTCTGTATTTAAATAAAAATGGCCATGTTTTGTTGTAGATTGTAATTGTTTCCACAAATTCAATAGGACCTTGATTTTTTGTAACAGCCATACTTGACAACAGATTTGCAGTTTGCACTAGATTGTAACAAAAGCAACAACAGATTTGCAGTTTGCACTTGATTGAAAAGCAGTCATGCAGCATTTATTCAAATTTAGATGAATTCTTAAGGGCAGTTTTTAATAAGTCATTTAAAGTTCTTTTTTATATTTTGAGTATCTGCAGCCATATTTTTATGGCAGATTGGTATTATTTGTTTAAATTTGAAAGGCCTATTTTCTGTGAAATTTGATTAAATTCTGTTTAGTATTTTTTTGAGATGAAGTTATTTAATGGGTTTTCTCATTTTAGTAGAGGCAGCCATATTTGATGACTTATGAACATCATTAACATACAGTATACCAGGATGCTTTTGGCCAGGTTGGGTTGAAATTGGGTCAGATATTTGTCAATATTGGAATGCAGGATAACATATGGTCATGTGAGCTAAAAAGAGACTGCATAGATTAAAGGTGTTTACATAGCTCAAAGTGTGATCACTATAAGATCAATTCTTATGATAAGGTTACTATTCTAAAGAACCTCCATTATTGATAAGCAAGACATAGCTGTAATTGGTTTGGTTTTGGCAGTGGTTTGGCATGAAGTTTATCAAATTTTTGTTAAAACAATTTATCTGCTTAAATTTCTCCAACTTATGAATAATTTTTCATCATATTTTACATAAATAAGGAAAGATCATTCTATAGAATTCATGCTTGCCTTTTTTTTCCTGGGGTCAAGGTCACAAGTATGGAAAATTTGAAATAAGGTTTTTGTTTCAAGTTTGTTGGTTTTCATTTGCTTTTATTTCCTAAATACCCTTATGGACCTTCATAAATTCATGGATTAATTATTATGAAGCTAAGAAAATTCATTGTGACATGTTTACTTGCCTGTTTTGACAATAAGGCCACGGTCACACATTTTACAACTGCTTTTATTGTACATTCAGCATGAAAAGTCCCTGGCCATTTTGTTCTATGGTTAGTTTTTTAGGTCCCTTTTTTTTTCTCCACTCACCAAGGTTGGGAGGGAATATAGGATTTAGTAAGTATATGCTCTAATTGTTGTACTAAAATGTGGACAAATTATTTTAACCAGGAGTCATGAAGTTTGGAAGTTGACCTGCCAGAATGAGTGCGTACAAATATCTGTCAATACAAATTAATCTATATTTTATTTATTATACCTTTTTATTGTATGCCTCAGCTAAAGTTTTTATATCCATTCAACAAAATAAACAAAGAAACAATGTTTTAAGTTGCTAATTACATTTTTTGAGTTTTTGCTGAAATGAATTTAGAATGTCTCTCACATCATAAATTTTCAGTCAAGTGATTTTAGAGTTAACATACCATTCGCAGATCTCATCTTTTTGGGTTTGAGTCTTCTCTCAGCCAATGTAGGTATGTGAGAACACCTGCCTGTAGCTTCCCGAGGTTCTGTTTTATTCCCTGGTTCTTCATCCATCAAATATACTGCTAAAAAATGGTGTTGAGCCCAAAACATTTCAAATAATATAGAAATACTCGTCCATTTCTTTTGTTGATCATCTACATTTCTTTAACGATTTGGACAATTACTGACAATGTGAAAATATCATGGATTTATGTTGAAGATCTCTTGGTTTTGGAGCAAAATCAACTCTTGAGTGTACAGAATATATATATATATATATATATATATATATATATATATATATATATATATATATATATATATATATATATATATATCTGCCCTCCTCATTATTAGTTCTACAGACTTATTTATTTCTTCACTGTGACACTACAGTTAAGTAACTTGGTTGTTGAACATGTTTCTTTCAGCTATTCTGGTGACTTATGCATGGCACTAAAAATTGCTTCTTAAACCTCAAATATTTGAATTTTGATTACTCTAACACCAGTGTTGCTTGATGCTGTATTTTTGTTATGTGACCGCACTGGTGGCCTAGTGCTTAGAGCATCTGCCTCGAAAACAGGAGGTTGCAGGTTTGAACCCTGTTTGAGTCATACCAAAGACTTATAAAATTGGTACTAACAGCTGCCTCACTTGGTGTTAGCAATAAGAGGTTAGTGTTTGGACTGGTCGCCCTGGTGTCAGTATAATGTCACTGGGTGGAACATGATGCTAAATGTCTGTGTCATGATGCCCAGTTCTAGATGTCACTTAAGATTGCCAGACTGCAGACAATAGTGATATTACTGAATTTTTTTTAAACATTAAAATCCAAAACAATCACAAACTCATACTAATTTTGTCAAGAAAAATAATCCTGCATTACATGGTTGTAATGGATATATGCAGAAGTTATGATAACTTCCAGTGTCAGAAGATGCTGAACAATGGCTTAAATACAAATTTTATGGGGCTTTGTTGAAATTATATAAGTATTTCATTCATTTGTTTATACATTTATCTAACTGTTATCCAGTATTATATAGATCTGTGTACAACCTATAAACTGATGTCCTGTATCGGCTGAACAATGGCTTAAATACAAATTTTATGGGGCTTTGTTTAAATTATATAAGTATTACATTCATTTGTTTATACATTTAGCCAACTGTTATCCAGTATTATATAGAGCTGTGTACAACCTATAAACTGATGTCCGGTATCGGACTGTGTATAACTTGTTGCCAACTGTGACTCAAATCTGTCATCCAGAAAGATACTTTGACTGAAATTCATGCAGGATGTCAAGGATATTAACTGATAATGTGCTAAAGTTGTATGACTCTAAAATAAAAGGGATTAATGGTGATGAGATAGGGAGTATGTGGTGATCAGATTGTTTCAATGAGTGTCTATGTTAATTGATTGAACAGGCATTGGTGGTCTGTTATTTTCCCTTAAATAGGAAGGCATTTGATTTATAACTTCAGGGAAGATGTTTTCTTAGAGACCCACTGGTTTAGGTACCTGTATGTATATGCCTAATGACTGAGCAAGCATCTGTTGACTATTGATTACTTGGATTTATCTACAGTTGTGCATTGAAGATAAATACAAGGAAGACTTGATTCAGTAATAATTAGATTAACCATTATCAGCTTTTTAACGACTCAGCATCTTCCAAAATAAGCAAAAAGCAAGGATAATTTTGACATTTATTGCTCGATTGATCAACTGTAGATTTTTGTGATAACAACTATGAGGAGGACCTAATGTCAAAAGCATATGTTTCGGTTGCTCCACCTGTTGGAAAGATGACTGGCTATGATCACTCACTATAATAAAGTGCCATGCCCAAAGACACACCAAGGTCGGTGACCCATGTTGGTATGATTGTAGGAATTGAACCCATACTGTTTTAGTCGCAAGTCTGGCAAGCTAACCACTGTGCCACCTTTCATGCAATATAACACTTTATTTCAGTATGTGCAGTTTAAAAGTTTTGATATGATATGTTAAGATATCAATTTATGTGATAATGATTGGTCCAGACATGCCCAGGAAATTCTTGTGCACTGTTGATTGGCTGTAATCCTGGGAAAATTTTCCTTACACGATCTTTTGGAACTTTTTGATTTAACTATTACCATCAACATTTTGGCAGTGATAGTTTGAATTGATCACCCAAAATGAATGGGCTGGTGATCATGTTGGTGTGAAAATGGCTGATTTTCTCCATAGAGGCACACTATGCCATGTATGGTCTATCATGCTTTGAAAAATGGCATTAAACACCAAAAATATAACAAGAACAAGTTTAACAAAGGGTATTGGTCAACTGATAGTTGGGAAGGTTGCATGGTAACATGGAATCTACCCTATATACAAGAGGGGATTAAACCTGTAGGAGTAAATAAAGTCACATCTGTTCACCGAAGAATGGGGGCATAAAATGGTCTCTCAAGCAATCTATTTCTTATTATGTGGTGCAGTTTTTACTCAAAATAAAATTTGTTACTCCAAATCAAATAATACAAATATCCAGACAAAGATGTATCACAGTAAATTTGGAATTTCTGAATCCTGTAATCATCCCTTGACATGGATACACAACAACTGGAATGCTTAGTTGTGAAACTGACACACTTCAGCTGTAAACTTGGTCTAATCTAACCAAGTCAAACTATACATCTTAAGGAACTTCAGTGAACAGCCTGTGTTGAAAAATTATGTCAGAGTCAAATTTTTACAAATCAGAAAGTGAAGTTAATCTTTTTGAATTATAATTTGTTTAAAAAAATATCTACTTTTTAAATATTAGATACAGAACTGTGCAAAAACCGACTAAAATCTGGGACTTTTTTACTCGCAACAATGAAAGGTGCAATGTCGGTCAGAATAAATTAAATTATTTCTTTGTGATAATAGAATCTCAAATGTGTTATGATTTAAACTATAAAAATGTACACATTCTTATTATATACTATAGTTACTAATACAATTTAATATAAAATTTTACTTTTCACCCTTGAATGACATTTATATAATGTATATATTTTAATCAATCAATGTATATCAAACTTTAGATTTATTCATGTTATCCATTATTCAAGGTACCCTAGATTGTGAGCAAATGTATCTGTAACAGTACTCACGAAAAGTGAATTCTAAAGAAATCTGTGCTAATTCTACATTAAAAACAGTAGTCACTTAATGACACTGACCGTACTGTCAACAGTATTCATGAGAAAGAAGAAGTGATAGTTAACTCTGTCACCTTGTGAATGGAGACATTAAAATTAACAGTATGAAACATATTGGAAAAAAAAAAACAATGATGAAATAAAAAATATAAAATTTTAATTTTAAAATCTGAAGACAGTAGATAAAATATATATTATAAATTAATACCAACATTAAAAACCTTGTCCCTTGTTTTGATTAAATATAATACACATGAAATGATTTTCAGCTTGAATCCTGAAGATCAGTATTGCACCTTGGCATTATAACCATCAGAAAATTTCACAAAGAAGCATTTCCTCCAGTCACTGTAAGATTGTCGATAGTGCTATCTGCCATTTCGTTTTGATCACGCAAACAGACCACCTTAAATAAAAAAAACAACCATATATATATATATATATATATATATATTTATTTATTTATAACAAATTTGTGTGAAATCTTTTAAAGAATGCATATCATATTTGATTACAATTTACAATTCTTTTAACATATTAGTACTGTGTGCCTAAAATATTAATATTGGAATACATTTCATTAGGTTTAAGTCCTTTAAAATAACTTGCAGATTGACAAGCAAGATCATAAACATTATCATCATAAAGGTTATATACTACAAAATAGTTACTTCTCCACTTTGGAAATCCATCCTAACATGGTTTTGCCAAATAAAACACATCTAAGATCATTTTCTTAGACTGAATTAACTGCCAAATATGATAGTCATCCAAACATTAAACTAATTATGTTAAGTTCTAAGAAAATCAATTAGTTTCTTGAGGAATGCCATTGATGCATGCTTTGTAATGGTAATTTTACACATGTTTGGGCCTTTATAATATTTGTGTAGATATTACATTAAGTATGGCATATTTCTATGGTAAACCACAAACATCTGTTCAATATTTTTTTATTAGAATCAGGAAAATATCAAATTTCCCAAATTTCTGCACCATCACTTTTAAATTGGTGAGCCTACAAAAAGCCACAATTCCATCAAAATGATGAAAAAATCTATTTGTCTGCATGTGAAAATTAAGAAAACAAAGTTCAATAAATCTATATATATTAATGGTTCAGGATGTCCAAAGGCAAATAGATATAGAATCAAGCAGGTTAATCTCAGACACAAGATAAAGACATGTCTCGTTTTGTGTCATGTAACACAGTTTACTGTTTCCCATTACTCACATGCCATAAATGAATAATGTAGCTTATGTCTGGGAGTCTTGTTCAATTACATATTAAGTTCCTATGAGTCCTATGTCCAGTTAAAAAGTTTTGAATAGCTTTAAGTCATTAGCTAATATAGAGACTTTTTCCAACTGATATCAAAACTGTATTTCCCTTCCTTTTCTCATTATAGTCAGAGGCATTCAAATATATATTTTCTAACTCTTTAAGATCTGGCAATGAAAGAGCTAAATAAGATAACATGTCCATATTGTTATTATTTAGATTCAGGATTACTCAAAGGAGTTACCCAATTTGATAACTGACTGAATTTATGAAATGCATCTCTAATAGCAACCAACCTTGTTAGAGACCATAATATATTTAAGAGAAAAAACATGCAACTTCAGCATTAGGATCACATAGATATTTCTATAAGGAGAATTTAGTCTCACATCTGATATTCTACTTCAGCTCATTAACCCCTAGCGCTTTGTTTATTGGGCAGGAGGTAGTAGCCTATTTCTGAGCTCTGTAGCGTTAAGGTCATGAGCAACAGAATAAAGTGGGTAGTATTATAGAAAGGTAGACAGATGTAGCTTTACAATGATACCAAATAATATGGATGTTCTTGTTGTACTACAAAATACAGAGGGAAAAAACATCAATTTTTGGACCAGAGTTTTTTCCAGCCGAAATTCATCCGAGGTCGTGATCTCGTTTTGTGTCTGGATTTTAGGCTTTTTGGCCTCGGATATAAAACAGCCCAGTCTCAATTGCACACAGACAGGTGAACCTTTGCAAAAAGTAGGATAAGATATGCATTTAGAATAAAGAGTGGTCTCAACAAGAAAATGATGGGTTCGTTAAGTAAAAAAAAAAGTCCAATTTTTACCCTTCTGCTCATGCTCAGATGAAAGAGCCAATGAAAATTGATGTTTCTAACACAAAAAGACAAGTTAACTGAAAATGTCTTGGAAATTGATGTGTTAGGATGTATTCAGAAACATCTCCCAAAATGGATTTCCTACTCGCATTTTAGGCGAAAATGACCAAAACCTCCAGGGGTTAATTGGTTAAAATAGCTATGAAAAATTGAACAAACATATCAGCATTTTGTTAGTTAATAAAAATTAATGCTTCAGCAAAACAACAATAAGAGTTTCATCAAAAACTGAAACCATCAACCTAGATT